CAAGGACTGACCCCTGCGGGACTCCACTCGTAACGTCTCGCCAATCTGAGACCTCACCCCTCACACTGACTCGTTGTCTCCTGTTGCTTAGGTACTCCTGTATCCAACGGAGTACCTTCCCTTTCACTCCAGCCTGCATCTCCAGCTTTTTCACTAGCCTCTTGTGTGGCACTGTATCAAAGGCTTTCTGACAATCCAAAAATATGCAGTCTGCCCACCCTTCTCTTTCTTGCCTTATTTTTGTTGCCTGGTCGTAGAATTCAAGTAACCATGTGAGGCAGGACCTGCCATCCCTGAATCCATGTTGATGCTGTGTTACAAAGTTCTTTCACTCCAGGTGCTCCACTAGCTTTCTTCGCACAATCTTCTCCATCAGCTTGCATGGTATGCAGGATAGGGAAACTGGCCTGTAATTCAGTGCCTCCTGTCTATTCCCTTTCTTGTATATCGGGACTACGTTAGCTGGTTTTCAAATTTCTGGCAGTTCCCCTGTTGCCCTTGATTTGTTATACACTATGGAGAGTGGGAGGCACAGTTCTTCTGTTCCTTCCTTTAGTATCCAAGGGGAGATTCCATCTGGGCCTATAGCCTTTGTCACATCCAACTCTAGTAAACACTTCCTTACTTCCCCGCTGGTAATCTCAAACTCTTCCAGTGGTTCCTGGTTAGCTATTCCCTCTCTTATCTCTGGGATTTCTCCTTGCTCTAAGGTGAAGACCTCTTGGAACTTCTTATTCAGTTCCTCACACACTTCCTTGTCATTTGTAGTGAATCCTTCTGCCCCTATCCTTAATTTCATAACCTGTTCCTTTACTGTTGTTTTTCTCCTGATGTGGCTATGCAGCAATTTAGGCTGAGTCTTTGCCTTGCTTGCGATGTCATTTTCGTATTGTCTTTCTACCTTTCTTCTCATTCTGACATATTCATTCCTGGCATTTTGGTATCTTTCTCTGCTCTCCAGTGTCCTGTTTTTCCTATAGTTTCTCCATGCCCTTTTACTTTGCTGATTAGCTAGCCTACATCTCTGATTAAACCATGGGTTTCTCATCTTCATTTCACTGTTTTCCTTTTGGGCTGGGATAAACTTGTTTGCTGCGTCCTTGCATTTTTGCGTGATGTAGTCCATCATATCTTGGGCCGTGTTTTTCCTGAGCTCTGTTTCCCATGCTATATCTGTTAGGAATTTTCTTATCTCCTCATAGTTTCCCTTTCGGTATGCTAACCTTTTGGTTTCGGATCCCTCCTCGAGTTCAATAACCCTTCTTCAATCAGGTACTCAAACACCAATACACTGTGGTCGCTCATTCCTATTGGGGCCTCAAAACCGATTTCTCTTATGTCAGAGTCGTTCAGGGTGAAGACCAGGTTGAGTCTCGCTGGTTCGTCATTTCCTCTCATCCTTGAGGGTTCTCTGACATGCTGGGTTAAGAAGTTGCTTGTCACCACCTCCAGTAGTTTGGCTCTCCACATATCTTCGCCTCCATGCGGTTCCTTGTTCTCGCAATCAATCCTTCCGGAAATTGAAGTCCCTCATGATGAGCAGGTGGGATCTATTTCTACAGGCAGCAGAGGCTGCCCTCTCAATTATAGTGTTAACTGTCATGTTGTTATTGACATACTCTTGACTGGGTCTTCTGTCATTTGGTGGAGGATTATATATTACTGCTACTACTATTCTTGGTCCTCCCATTGTCATGGTGCCTGCATTGTAGTCTCTGAACCCCTCACAGCCCGGGATATCCATCTCCTTAAAATTCCATTCCTTTCTCATGAGTAGGGCCACTCCACCTCCTCCCCTACCTTCCCTCTCTCTCCTTATTACTGTGTACTCCTGGGGAAACACGGCATTCGTTATGATTCCAGAGAGTTTTGTGTGTGTGTGTGTGTGTGTGTGTGTGTGTGTGTGTGTGTGTGTGTGTGTGTGTGTGTGTGTGTGTGTGTGTGTATAAGTGTGTGTGTGTGTGTGTGTGTGTGTGTGTGTGTGTGTGTGTGTGTGTGTGTGTGTGTGTGTGTGTGTGTGTGTGTGTGTGTGTGTGTGTGTGTGTGTGTGTGTGTGTGTGTGTGTGTGTGTGTGCACTCACCTAGTTTTGCTTGCTGGGGTTGAGCTCTGGCTCTTTTGTCCCGCCTCTCAACCATCAATCAACAGGTGTGCAAGTTCCTGAGCCTATTGGCCTCTATCATATCTACACTTGAAACTGTGTATGGAGTCAGCCTCCGCCACATTACTTCCTAATGCATTCCATTTGTCAACCACTCTGACACTAAAAAAATTCTTTCTAATATCTCTGTGGCTCATTTGGGCACTCAGGTTTCACCTGTGTCCCCTAGTGCGTGTTCCCCTTGTGTTAAATAGCCTGTCTATATCAACCCTGTCGATTCCCTTGAGATTCTTGAATGTGGTGATCATGTCCCCCCCCCCTAACTCTTCTGTCTTCCAACGAAGTGAGGTTTAATTCTCGTAGTCTCTCCTCGTAGCTCATACCTCTCAGCTCGGGTACTAGTCTGGTGGCAAGCCTTTTAAGCTTTTCCAGTTTAGTCTTATGCTTGACTAGATATGGACTCCATGCTGGCGACGCATACTCCAGGATTGGTCTCACATATGTGGTATATAATGTTCTGAAAGATTCCTTACACAAGTTTCTAAAGGCCGTTCTTATGTTAACCAACCTGGCATATGCTGCTGATGTTATCCTCTTGATATGAGCTTCAGGGGACAGGTCTGGCGTGATATCAACCCCCAGGTCTTTCTCTCTCTCTCACCCTTGAAGTATCTCATCTCCCAAATGATACCTTGTATCTGGTCTCCTGCTTCCTACCTCTATCTTTATTACATTACATTTGCTTGGGTTAAACTCTAACAGCAATTTGTTCGACCATTCCTGCAGCTTGTCCAGGTCTTCTTGAAGCCTCAAGCTGTCCTCCTCTGTCGTAATCCTTCTCATAATTTTGGCGTCGTCAGCAAACATTGAGAGGAATTAGTCTATACCTTCTGGGAGATCATTTACGTATATCAGAAACAGGTTAGGTCCAAGCACAGAGCCCCGTGGGACTCCAATGGTGACTTAACGCCATTCTGAGGTCTCACCCCTCAATATAACTCTCTGCTTCCTCTTGCTTAGGTACTCCCTTATCCACTGGAGCGCCCAACCAGTTACTCCTGCCTGTTTCTCCAGCTTATGCATCAACCTTTTATGGGGTACTGTGTCAAAGGCTTTCCGACAGTCCAAAAAAATGCAGTCCGCCCATCCTTCTCTTTCTTGCTTAATCTTTGTCACCTGATCGTAGAATTCTGTCAAGCCTTTAAGGCAAGATTTACCCTCCCTGAACCCATGATGATGGGTTGTCACGAAGTCTCTTCTCTCCAGATGTGTTACTAGGTTTTTTCTCACAAACTTCTCCGTCACCTTGCATGGTATACAAGTTAAGGACACTGGCCTGTAGTTCAGTGCCTCTTGTCTGTCACCCTTTTTAAATATTGGTACTAAATTAGCCGTCTTCCATATTTCTGGTAGGTCTCCCATTTCCAGTGACCTACTATACACTATGGAGAGTGGCAAGCAAAGTGCTCCTGCACACTCTTTCAATACCCATGGTGAGATTCCATCCGGCCCAACAGCTTTTCTCACATCCAGATCCAATAGGTGCTTCTTGACCTCATCTCTTGTAATTTCGAACTTTTCCAAGGTCACCTGGTTTGCTGCCACCTCTCCTAGCTCCGTGACTTCTCCCTGTTCTATTGTAAAGACCTCCTGGAACCTTTTGTTGAGTTCTTCACACACCTCTTTGTCATTCTCTGTGTACCTGTCCTCGCCCACCCTAAGTTTCATCGCCTGTTCCTTCACTGTTGTCTTCCTCCTGATGTGACTGAGTAGTAGCTTTGGTTCGGTCTTCGCTTTATTAGCTATATCATTTTCATACCTTTTCTCAGCTGCTCTTCTCACACTAACATACTCGTTCCTGGTTCTCTGGTACCTTTATCTACTTTCTGGTGTTCTGTTATTACGGAAGTTCCTCCATGCTTTTTTGTTCAGCTCCTTTGCTTTCATACATTCCCTATTAAACCACGGATTCTTCCTTTGCTTCTCTGTTTTTTCCTGTTGGGCTGGGACAAACCTGCTTACAGCCTCCTGACATTTTTTTTTTTGTGTGTGTGTGTGTGTGTGTGTGTGTGTGTGTGTGTGTGTGTGTGTGTGTGTGTGTGTGTGTGTGTGTGTGTGTGTGTGTGTGTGTGTGTGTGTGTGTGTGTGTGTGTGTGTGTGTGTGTGTGTGTGTGTGTGTGTGTGTGTGTGTGTGTGTGTGTGTGTGTGTGTGTGTGTGTGTGTGTGTGTGTGTGTGTGTGTGTGTGTGTGTGTGTGTGTGTGTGTGTGTGTGTGTGTGTGTGTGTGTGTGTGTGTGTGTGTGTGTGTGTGTGTGTGTGTGTGTGTGTGTGTGTGTGTGTGTGTGTGTGTAAATAATGAAAAAGTAACATGTGATGAACAATGGATGGCAATGTCAAATACGAAGGAAGGATTAATACAGGAAATTCCTTAATTACTTATTATTAGTTTCCTTAATTTCCGAAAGGAACTAATTAAGGAATTAAGGAAATTTCCTTAGTTCGTATTATTAGAATTCGGTGGTAGATATGTATGCAGGAATGAGGTGCGGTGAAAAAAAGTTTGTCTGTATTCACAAAAATAAGAGGGCACAGCAAAAGGCCTATTAACCCATACATGTGAGTTCCAGGAAACATTAATGAGATAATAATGAGATAATAATAAGATATTATTAAGATAAATGTGTATCAATGATCTTACAACAACTGTTTTTTAATTGGGCAATAAAAATGGTTCCAAAATTATACAAACCACTTTTAATACTTAAATTGTATGATCTTGTAATCTGTATTAAAGCAGATTTATTAATTTTTCAATTGAAAAGGATTTTCAATTCGAAGTTAAAGAAGCTCTCTCCCAATCTACTCGTAAGAAATTGTTTGTTTATTTGTCAAAAAGTTAAGCTCATCTGTAGTTGCTGCAGACGGAAGCTAACTCCAAACGCCGGAGGTGTCTGACAGCCGTTGCAAGTATCTCTCGGTTGACTTTTCTTATTGATGGATCCTCAAACGGAGATCTTCTCTTATCAACACTACAAATATGACACATTATTCTGTGGAAACTACAAACATAAGCGTAAACTATTTTTATGTACAGCCAATCAGTTTTCAGTGTATTTTCTTTCTCATTGATATATTATGCTACTGTGATTTCTTTGTTCAGAAAGAGGGGTGGAAAGATGGGAACATCTTTATCCGTAGACCAGAAATGTTGGCAGCCTCCAAAATCTTCCAGTGAATTCAGTAGAGTTCTTGGTTTAATGACTTTTGTCCTGTCGTGGCCGAATGGGCTAAAGCAAGGATCTGGGAATAACTTGAGGGCTGATTTAAGTCACCTTATTTCCCCAAATTATATTCTTTATTAATAAGGATATTTATGTTAATTTATACTCATAAACAATTAAACATACTTGAACAATATATAGAATATAGAATCTTGCCATAACGCAAAATTTATGCTGTACTCACTTTCTGTCCTTAGCTTGCTGTAATCCAACTATCACAGTGGATACGATCGACATTTGATCAGCCAGAGACTTGTAGAGAATAGAATCCGATTGTTTGAAGAACTTAATAAACTCATTTCCGAACGGTGGCATGGTAATCCTGGGTGACATTGGAAATCGAGAATAAGTAAGAAGTTTGTTAGATGGTTAAGTAAATATTTCAACCCAGACAAGGGTTACAATTTTGAATATATCGACGAATTAACGCATTGAGAATTTAGAAACAGATACTTGTCAAAAGTCGCAACCAGTTGCTCGACAGTTTCAACCCTGGGTGGGTATTTGGGCAGGGTGAGAGCAGCGGTGAGGTTGCCCCTGTAGACGGTGCCCAGGATGAAGGCAGACACCAACCACGTCACCAGTAACACACGTCGACTGCTGGTGTTCGCTAGCTTCCTGTTGAAGTCCTGCGAGAGTAACGTTGATATGATCATCTGGAGGACAGCAGAAGCGTTGACGCTCTCGCCGTTAGTGATACGAGCTCCCACGAGGATGATCTTAATAGGACGAGACACAAGTTAGATATTTTATATTAATATGTGTAATTACCAAGTTCTTATCCTACTCGCTTTCCTCTGAAGGTTATAATATTTGCGTTTTTGATAAAGATGAAAATCCTTAAATATATTTTTTTCCCTTTTTTATACTGTTCAGATGATAATAATAATGGTAACCTCATTGTCAATATGATCAGTTTATATATACTTAAAATCAGTCCAATTACAAAAATTACTATAACAACGTACTATCTTAATACTTAATACTATCTTAACACTTGAAGAATATCATTCATACCAGATACATTACAAGCGGCATAAAGAGAACGGAAGCAAGGACAGAGAGCCAGACCCCGTCAGACAGAGGGTAGTAGAGACTCTGCCACCGCGGCCTCAATACCGGCTTGGCGGCGCTAAAGTCAAGGGACCCGTACTCGTACGTGTAGGAGAAGTCGTATCGCTCGAGGCGTTGCGGTAACACGTTGTGGAATACTGTTGCCATGAACGACACCCGCTCCTCCACACGCGCCGCCACCTGGGGCATGATGGGGCAGTGTTGCAGTAGTGTGATGACTACATGGTCAGTGTTACAGTAGTGTTACACCTGTCACACAGGTGTAACACTACATGGTCAGTGTTACACAGGTGTAACACTACATGGTCAGTGTCACACAGGTGTAACACTATATGGTCAGTGTCACACAGGTGTAACACTACATGGTCAGTGTTACACAGGTGTAACACTACATGGTCAGTGTTACACAGGTGTAACACTACATGGTCAGTGTCACACAGGTGTAACACTACATGGTCAGTGTCACACAGGTGTAACACTACATGGTCAGTGTCACACAGGTGTAACACTACATGGTCAGTGTCACACTGGTGTAACACTACATGGTCAATATCACACTAGTGTAACACTACATGGTCAGTGTCACACTGGTGTAACACTACATGGTCAGTGTCACACTGGTGTAACACTACATGGTCAGTGTCACACTGGTGTAACACTACATGGTCAGTGTCACACTGGTGTAACACTACATGGTCAATATCACACTAGTGTAACACTACATGGTCAGTGTCACACTGGTGTAACACTACATGGTCAATATCACACTAGTGTAACACTACATGGTCAGTGTCACACTGGTGTAACACTACATGGTCAGTGTCACACTGGTGTAACACTACATGGTCAGTATCACACTAGTGTAACACTACATGGTCAGTGTCACACTGGTGTAACACTACATGGTCAGTGTCACACTAGTGTAACACTACATGGTCAGTGTCACACTGGTGTAACACTACATGGTCAGTGTCACACTGGTGTAACACTACATGGTCAGTGTCACACAGGTGTAACACTACATGGTCAATATCACACAAGTGTAACACTACATGGTCAGTGTCACACTGGTGTAACACTACATGGTCAGTGTCACACTGGTGTAACACTACATGGTCAGTGTCACACTGGTGTAACACTACATGGTCAATATCACACTAGTGTAACACTACATGGTCAGTGTCACACTGGTGTAACACTACATGGTCAGTGTCACACTAGTGTAACACTACATGGTCAGTGTTACACAGGTGTAACACTACATGGTCAATATCACACTAGTGTAACACTACATGGTCAGTGTCACACAGGTGTAACACTACATGGTCAGTGTCACACAGGTGTAACACTACATGCTCAGTGTTACATTATATGATCAGTGTCACACTAAATAGTCAGTATTCACCTAGTTGTGCTTGCGGGGGTTGAACTTTGACTCTTTGGTCCCGCCTCTCAACTGTCGGTCAACTTGTGTACATATTTCATAATCTATTTGGCTCTTTCATATTTACATTTGAACTGTGTATGAAGACTAACTCCACCACATCACTCCCTAATGCATTCTATTTGTTAACTACTCTGACACTGAAAAAAATCGTTCTTATATCTCTGTGGGCCATTTGGATACTCTGTTTCCACCTGTGTGCTTGTTCGTGTTCTACCCATGCTAAATAGTCATCTTTGTCCATCCTGTTAATTTCCCTAAGAATTTTGTAGTTTGTATTCATGTCTCCCCCCTTACTCTTCTGTCTTCCAGAAACGTGAGGGTTAGCTCTTGTAGCCTTTCCTTGTAGCTCATACCTCTCAGTTCTGAGACTATTCTGGTGGCATACCTCTGATTCTTTTGTAACTTTGCCTAGTGTTTAACTAGGTATGCACTCCATGCTGGAGCTGCATACTCCAGGACTGGTCTAACATAAGTGGTATACAAAGTCGTGAACGATACCTTACACAAGTTTCTAAAGCCAGTTCTAATGTTGGGCAATCTAGCAAATGCCGGTGAAGATATCGTTTAGATGTGGGCTTCTAGAGGACAGGTTCGGTGTGATTTCTTCCTCTCTATTTGACTCTTGGTCAAGAGTTTTTCTCATTCTATATGGTCAAGAGTTTTTCTTATTCTATATGGTCAAGAGTTTTTCTCATTCTATATGGTCAAGAGTTTTTCTAGTTTTTCCCTTACATAAAAAGAAGAGCACGATATCATTACCTTCCTGACTAATGTTATTTGGAATAAGACCGGCCACGTCCATCATGACCTTCAGAATATCGCTTTTCCCGGAAGCATGTCCGTCAAGCGGGGAGGGGGGGGGGGGGAGCTCTAACTTTTAACGTGTAGGTTACATTGTGTCCACACCCTCAACCAGTCGCAGTGTGTGAGTTAGTTAGTTAGTTAGTTACTTGCTGTTTCCTTTTGCTTAAATACTCCCTTATCCACAGGAGCACCTTAGCTTTCATTCCTGCCTGTTTCTCCTTCTCCAACTTTTGTAACAGCCTTTTATTGTGTACTGTGTCAAAGGCTTTCTAATAGTCCAAGAAAATGCAGTCTGCCCACCCTTCTCTTGCCTGCCTAATTTTTGTCACCTAATCATAGAATTTTATTAAGCCTGTGAGGCACGATTTACCATCTCTGAACCCATGTTGGTGGTGTGTAACAATGCTCCTTCCCCTCCAGAAGTTCTACGAGCATTGCCCTCAAATGTGTACATTAGCTGACTTCCAACTTTCTGGTAAGTCTCCTGTTTCCAGTAACCTGTTATACATACACCTTAGAGTGTGGCACACTTAGTGCTTCTGCACCCTCTTTTAGTATCCATTGAGATTCTGTCTGACTGGAATTCAGGAATCTCTTGTTAAGTTCTTCATATATCTCCTTGTCATTCGCTCTGCATCTGTTCTCCCCTTTTCTCCGTTTCGTCACTTGTTCCTTCACTGCTGTTTTCTTCCTGGTGTGACTGTGGAACAGTTTTGGTTGGGTTTTGGGTTTACTCGCGAGGTCATTTTCATACTGTCTCTCTGCTTCTCTCCTCACTTTGAACTACTCATTCATGGTCCTCTCGTATCTCTCCCTACCCTCTCTTGTTCTACTATTCTTGTAGTTTCTCCATGTTCTTGTACTCATTTGCTTCACTACCTTAGATTCCTGATTGAACCATGGAGTCTTCTGTTGCTTTTAAATTTTCAATTTTTACAATATCAATATATTCAATATCTTGTTAACATATGGTGTTGAATATGACCAAAATGGTAAGATTAATGATTCTAACACGAATCTTCTCAATATTTCTTATATTTTTCTTCCCCATCGAGGGTAGTTGAAAAATTAACTTTCCAAAGTTCATTTTCACTCTTTATTTATGGTCTGACGCCTGGAAGCGTTTTGCTAGACACTTTTTACATTTTCAAAGACAATTTTGCATATTCTGCCAATGCTTATATTCGCTTGGGGTGATGTGATACAGGACATGATTGATGTGATAAAGGACACGATGGAGATGAACAAGTGAATCAATGGGTACACGACTGTGTGTTTTATCTTCTTGCTTCTGTGTTGGTTCAGGGTCTTGAAGTGGGTAGAATGTAATTGTGGTAATTGGCTGTTGATTGATGGTTTTGACTTTTTTATGTGAAGGGCCTCGCTGATGTCAAGTCTCCTGTTCTCATTAAACCTGTCGAAAATTTCTCTGCTGCTTATTAAGATTTCTCTGGTGATGGTCTGATTGTGTGAGGAAATTATATGCTCCTTGATGGAGCCCTGTTGCTTGTGCATTGTTAATCACCTGGAGAGAGAGACATTGTTGTCTTGCCTATATACTGTGTTCTTTGGGGCTGACAGTCTACAAGAGGGCATGTGAAGGCATAAACGACGTTGGTTTCTTTCAAGGTGTTCTGTTTGGTGTCTGGAGAGTTCTTCATGATTAGATTGGCCGTCGTCTTGTTTTTGTTGTAAACTGTTAATTGTATCATCTGATTTGTGTCTTTGGGGATAACGTTCCTATTAATAATATCTTTCAAGACAATGTCCTCCGTTTAAGATCCGTCAAAAGGAAGTTCCTGTAAAACAGTCTAATGGGAGGTACAAGTGTTGTGTTAGTTGATTCTTCAGAGGTTGCATGACGTTTCACCTTTCTTTTAATGACGTCTGCAGCATAACGGTTAGAGAAGCCATTGTTGACTAGGACCTACCTTACTCTACAGAGTTCTTTGTCGACCAGCCTCCAACCAGAGCTGTGAGTGAGAGCTCAGTCGATGTAAGCATTGGCAACACTCCGCTTGTACCTGTCTCGGCAGTCACCATTGGCATTAAGGCACATTCCTTTGTTCGTTTCCTTAATGTACACTGCAGTGTGGAAGCCACCATTCCTTTCCGATACTGTTACATCTAGAAAGGGCAGCTTCCCCTCACCCTACATCTCTGAAACTTAAGTGAAGTGAAACTTAACACCGAATTTTGCTTGAATGCCTCCTTCAACTGCTTCAGACGTCTGACATCATGTACCTGCGTAAATAAGTCTTCAACGTGCCTGCCGTATATGGCGGGTTTCATGACAACTAATATCCTCTACTCTATGGTACCCATGTAGAAGTTTGCAAACAGTACACCTAGGGGAGAACCCATTGGACCCTATCTATTTGTTTATACATGTGCCCATTGGGACTCAGGAAGGGTACCTCTTTAGTGCAGGCTTTGAGTAACTTCCTCAGTATGCTCTCTGGTATGTCCAGAGGGGCACAAGCTGGATCACGATATACTCTGTCCATCATCATCCTGATTGTATCGTCCACAGGCACGTTGTTAAACAGCGACTCTACATCCAGAGATGCTTTTATCCCTGTCGCCCGCGCTCCCCGCAGTAAGTCTACGAATATCTTTGGAATGGATGGGAAGGGAATTGTCGGGAAAGCGCCAAGAATTTCTTTGGAAACTTCAGGCTAAAAGCACAAGGCACATTAGGAGTCAGTAGGCATTTGAGTCGCTTAGCCTGTCTGTAAGGAAGGGGGGGGGGGGTATCTGGCTGATGATTGGCCGAAGTGGGTTTCCATGTTTGTGGGTCTTGACATTCCCATATGCGTAACGAGGTTTGTATTCGACGATAACCTTTGACAGATGGTGTCCAGATTTCTTGGCGTTCACATTTTCAATAACTCTCTTTACCTTCGTTTTCATTTCGGCTGAAGTGTCC